TGCTTACGATTGCACAACTAAATTTCTTCAAAATGAGATGACAGGCTTCTAAATGAAGTGAGGTGACGGGCAACAAAGGGGTAGGTCGTCCCGTCTCTGCTAGGCCTCTGCGGTTATCCTGTGTGTCCACGTCGGCATTTGCGCACTTTCACCATGTTTCGTAAAGCTGCCGCTGGGGAGTCACCTTAAAGGCTCCACTGAGGGAATGCTGGATAGCCTCGCCTCGACGAACCGCTGCCTTAAAATGACCATATATGTTCTCTACCACTCTCTACTGAATGCTTTTCTAATCAGACGCATTAATGTCCAATCTAAACGTTTAAATACCTCCCTACCCTCACCAGCACAACCTATCGCCACAGGAGTCATTTTACCGTATCCCTCCCGCCCAATCCCACCCTATTCGTTGTAACATCTGCCCCCAAAACCTCTAGTGCGACATTCCCAGCCCTTACTTTTCATTTAGTCTGAAGACGAATAAGTGATACCTGTTCGAAACTTCACGAGTACAAGTTGATTTTCCAAAGACCTTCCTTCTTTTCATCATATCATCTCGGAATGCAACTTGCTTCACTTATCCAGCATTAACGTCTGTCCAATCGATTGTGTCTCCCTCTCATTTCTAACTAAGAAATCATTAATATTCCAGTATATAGAGCTCGATGTAATATGGGACTAACGTTCACAGATCTACCCCGGTTCCTGTAAGTAAGTGAGGATTTTCGCTTCAGCTCAGAGTTCAAATTCTAGAATACACGTAGGCAGTCTTACGGCGACTAATAATCAATAATCCAAAGATATTATCGATGGAGATCAAGGCCACTGAAATGACCAATTTTGATTTATGCTTCATGACTTAACATTGATGTCCATTCTCATGGCGGTGTCATCAGTCCGATAGCAACTGTCTATTTGTGATTACGTGCTAGTCACGGCTGTCTGCATGAATTTCGAGCCCCTGCTTCAGGAAGCAACGGAGATGTCCGATTCGAATTGAAAAAAAACAGAGCTCCTCTGAAATCAAATCCTTCCGCCAGACCACACTATAACAGGTGAAAATGGCAACCCCCAACAGCACTCCAATATAATATTTTAAATGCTGTTCACAATGCCAGCAAGAACGGAAGCAGAACCCTTCCGCCAATACCGGTATTCCACAGTAACGCGCACCTTTATAAACTGTCTATTTCCTACTCCTAATACTTTGTTTAAAAAGTGACCTTTGTCCACATAACCATGCCTCATTATGGTGTATGGGGACTGCCTCTCTCTAACTTACCTAATTTTGAAGATTGCGTATGTAGCAGAATTTAATGGAACCATAAAATTCGCGAGCGCTCATCAGCTGCATCCACTCGCTGCATAAACTGAGTAACGAATGAGAAAATGCAGAATTGGATTCATACAGATAAATCGATACAAAAACATCAAGGTCACAAGAGTTGGCCAAGGGGCAATCAATAAAGTAGGAAATTCAAACGCTGTGGGCAGCAAAAAACGGTGTAAAAACGTCTGAGGCAAAAAACGTCTAAGGCAAAAAAGGTGGGAAGGGGGATGTGTA